CTTAATCTTCCACCTTAACGCAGTGGAAGAAGAAGAGCAAACTAACCCCAAAGGAAGCAGATACAAGGAAAATAATAAAGATTAGACCAGAAATTAATCAAATAGAGAATGTGCCAACAATAAAATGAATGAAACCAAAAGATAATTCATTGAAAAGATAAACAAAATCGACAAACCTTTAGTTAGACTGACGAAGGAAAATGGAATAAGACTCAAATTAGTAAAATTAGGAATAGAAGAAGGGACATTAATTCTGATAACAGAATTTAAAAAGGTCATAAGAGAAAACCATGAACAAATATGCCAAAAATTAGGTAAGTTAGATGAAATAAATTCCTAGAAAGGCACAAACTATTAGAATCGACTGGAGGAAATACAACATCCGAATAGATCTTTAACAAGTAAGGAGATTGAAGGAGGAGGAGGGGGAGGAATAGTAGTAATAAACTAACCACAATGAAAAGCCCAGACCCGGATGGCTTCCGTAATGATGCTACTAAACATTTTTTTAAGTATTTTTTTTTTTTATTTGAGAGAGAGAGAGATCGTGAGCATGGGAAGGGTAGAGGGAGAAGAAGACGCCCCGCTGAGCAGGGAGCCTGATGCGGGGCTCAATCCCAGGATGCTGGGATCATGACCTGAGCTGAAGGCAGACGCTTAAACAGCTGAGCCACCCAGGCATCCACTACCAAACATTTAAAGAGGAATTAATACCAGTCTTCATAAATGTCCAAAATATAGAAGAGGAAGAAACACTTCCCAACTAATTTTATGAGGCCAGTATTATCCCAATATCAAAACCAGACAAAAATATCAAGATAAAACAAGAAAACTATAGACCAATATCTCTTATGAATAAAAACACAAAAATCCTCAACAACATACTCTCAAACTGAATCTAGCAACAAATTAAAAAGATCATATACCGTGGCCAAGTGGGATTTATCCCAGGAATCCAAGGGCAAGTGAAAATCAATTAATATACCTTATCAGTCATGAATAAGGGACAGAAACCATATTATCATCTTGGTGGACATAGAAGAAGCATTTGACAAAATTAAACACTCCATGATAAAAACACTCCAAAAAGTAGGAATAGTGAACTTCCTGAAAATCAGAAGCCTAAAAATCAAGAGCCTTTTTCCCCCCTAAAATCAGAAACTGAGGCAAGAATATCCACTTTCACCCCTTTATTCAACATTGTAGGCAAGAAAAGAACATAAAAGATCTTCACACTAGAAAGGAAGAAAAAAACCTGTGTTTACAGATGACATGATAGAAAATCCTAAGGAATCCACTAAAAGGCTATTCAAACAAATGAACAAGTTCATCACAGTTGCAGGAGGTAACTGCATTTGATGTGACCTTGTAAATAGAAAATCCCAAGGAATCCACTAAAAAGCTATTCAAACAAATGAACAAGTTCACAGTTGCAGGAGGCAACTGAGGTCATTTGTATGACCAACATACAAATTCTGTACACCTGCACTGAAAAATCTGAAAATGAATTTTAAAAAACAATCCATTTACATTATAATAAAAACACTTAGGAATAAATTTAGCATTAAAGAAGTGTAAACCTGACACTCTGAAAACTACAAAATGTTGTTGAAGGAAGTGAGAGACCTAAAGAAATAAAAAGATCCCATGTTTATGGGTTGAAAGACATAATATTATTAAGATGGCAATACTCCCCAAACTGATCCACAGATTCAACACAACCTCTCTCAAAATTCTAGCTTATTTCTTTGTAGAAATCGACAAAGTGATCCTAAAATTCATAGGGAGGTCAAGAAACCTTAGAATAGCTATATAACAATTTTGAAAAGGAAGAATTAAGTTTGGTAAGACTCAGCACTTGCCAATTTTAAACTACAAAGCTACAGTAATCAAAGTGTGGCGCTGGAATAAAGATGGACATATAAATAATAGAATGGAACTGAGTGTCAGAAATAAACCCTCACAGTCCATTTACAGTCAGTTGATCTTTCAACGAGGGTGCCAATGAGGAAGGAATAGTCTTTTTAATTCATGGTACTGGGACAACTAGATAGCCAATTTCATATGGACTTGTATGCAATTGCAATTGGACCCATACCTCACATCATATACAGAATTAATTCAAAATGGATCAAAGATGAAAAGTGAGAGCTAAAACTATAACTTTCTTAGAGGAAGACGGGTAAATCTTTGTGACCTTGGTTTTGGCAATGGTTTCTTAAATATGATATAAAAAGCACAAGTAGCTAAAGAAAAAACAAATAAATTAGGATTTCTGGGAGGATGGAGTGGTGAAAATGTTTTAAAATTCAATGTGGTGATAGTTGCATAACTCTGAATATACTAGAAACCATTGATTTTTATGCTTCAGATGGGTGAATTTCATTGTATGTGAATTATATTTTACATAAGAAAGAAAATCAAAAGAGGCAAAAAAAACTTACAGACCCTTCACTAAAGAAGATATTAAAATGTCTAATAAGCCATGGAAAGATACTAAATATCATTATTATTCAGGAAAATGCAAGTTAAAACCATAATGAGACACCACTACACACTGAACAGAAAAACTAAAATTATAATGACTGAGAGTACCAAATGCTTACCTTATAGAAATTCCCACTGACATCATATCCCAGCCACTGATCTAGAGTACCTGCCCCGTAGAGACACGCCAGGTATACCACTTGGCAGCTTCTGTATCTGCTTTACAGCTGTGAACACCTGACTGCTGGATAGAGTTGGCTGTTGACCTTGTGAAGTATGCAACCACATACCTACGAATAAAACATGTTTATTGTATGAAAGTCAGGTCTTCATCTTTGGCTCTTGGTCTCTTCCAAAAGTAGGAAGTAGGTTACTTGATGTTTTAGGTTTTTTGGGTTTTTTTTTTAGATTTTTAGTTACTTTTTTGTCTTCCCAATAAATGAAAAATAAAACACTGTCTGAGTTCCAGGCAACAACAATCCATAGTAGTTACTATTCCCATTGTGTGGACAAAAAAACTGCAGCTGAGAGAGACTTCATTTGCTCAAGGCAGGACACAGTGAAACCATTGTCTAATCCAGGTCTGTGAGTTACTAAGGCCAGGTCCTGTGGACTAAGAGAAGAGTACATGGGATTCTTTTTATGACACACTTGCCTTTGAGTTTCAGGGTGATTTTTTTCAGTCACTGTAAAGAATTTGTGTTTAATTAATAATATATCTATTGAGTGCTTACTGTATGTGCGTACTTTGTTTGTAGAGGTGAATATATTGATTTGGACTTTAAAAAGTTCAGGGTGTAGCAGAGAAAGCAACTGTGCAAATAAACATTTTCAATACAGCAAGATAATTGCAGTGGTAGAAGTCTTTAATAAGTACAGTGGCTAACAAAAAAGGAAGTGATCAACTCTGCTGGAGTGATTATTGAAGATGAGAAAATTGCATAGGACATACAAGGATGGGTAGGAGTTTGTCAGTTGGTCAGCTGACCTGTGGGTGTTTATTTCTGTGTCATGACTAACTGTGGAAACCATTTATGCATAAACATCAGCATTAGATTTAAGCAAATAACTACTTAAAGGTAGAAAAAATTCATTGTTAGTTGGCAGGAATGCTGTGTTCCTTTACACCTTTTTAATAATTAGCTTTGTGTTAAGATATAATTAAAACCTCTTAGCAAAATACAGAAGCCGTAGAGGAGGCAATGCTTTTTACTGGTAAACGCTTCGTAAAATACATTGCAAAGCAACCAGCTATTAGAGCTCTTTCATTCTGTTGCATCTGCTTTTTGGAATTTAAAGTTAAACAGACAAGATGAAACAAATTTGCAAGTTTATGAAGATTCTGCTTTGTTCTTTTTTCAAACTGTGCTGAACTTGACAAACGAATATACTCGGGATACATGCTTTTCAAGTTTTTAGGAGGAAAGCTTTAAACTACATCTGTGACTGTTTTCAGGGTCTATACTGTGTGTTAAGGTCGCAGTGGTTAGTTTCTAATGAAACTACGATCAGTTTATCAATAAATGTCTTATTAGAGCTAATTATGAACACAATTATGTTATTGCTTTTATTATTATTGAGCTCCCTATGTATGTCTCAATGTAGCCTGGTTGTTTTTTTTTTTTTTTAAAGATTTATTTATTTGAGAGAGAGAGAGAGTGTGTGTGTGCACGAGTGGGGGGAGGAGAAGAGGGAGAGGGAGAGAGAAAATCTCAAGCAGATTCCCCACTGAGCATGGAACCTGACGTGGGGCTTGATCCCACAACCCCAAAATCACGACCTGAGCCGAAACCAAGAGTCCGATCGATGCCCAACCAACTGAGCTACCAGGCACTCCTCACTGTAGCCTGTTTTGTCTCTCATTTCATTATTCCTCTGGGGATAAATAGGGCAAATTGAGAGGGAAATAGGAATATTTCAGTTTCAGGTGTTTGACTCAGCCACATTATGCCACTTTTTCTTTTGGGCTGCGTGGATCAATAATGGTACCTGCTACCTAATATACATTTTTTGAAAGGGTGCATAGAAAATTCTAGAAAATGGAGAACCTGCTTAGAAATAGCAACTGGCAGCTATTACAAAGGAAAGGCTGGGATTTTTGTTTGTGTTTTGGTTTGTTCTGTTCATTTTTTATCTTAGTTATTGCAGTGGCTGATGTTTTGCTACTTCATAGCAGGTTAAGTATTATACAGTGACAGCAGAGGTTTCTAATACACTGCATTTGGGAGAATGTATTTAAATACATGCAGATGTCATGTAATAGCTTTAATGGCAATAATCTATGCAAATCCATTTGATTGCAGGGTAGGATAGTCATTATCTTAGGCAACTGTATTACTATGTAAATTTAGTAATATGTTCCAGAGGAAACTGTATACTATACACAAAGAATTGTGCAAAAATAGTATATTAAAATCAGTGCCTTCTGGTTAATCCAAAATGATTAAGAGGGAAAACTACCTTAAGTTTATGAATACGAGTCAAAGAAAGAAAAAAATATATTTCATTTTTAGATTATATAAATGGTGGAGAACTTTTTACTCATCTTTCTCAAAGAGAGCGTTTCACAGAGCACGAGGTGCGGATCTATGTTGGAGAGATCGTGCTTGCCCTCGAACATCTCCACAAGGTAAGATGCTCAATCGTTGGGAGTTCTTTTTTTGAAAAATCTGTTAATTGAGGTAATGCTGGAGCTAAAAGAGCTAATGTTTTAAAACGTCACTGTCTTCGTGGAGATTGTAAAAGCACACTTACACACTATTGCCAATTTTCTCAATTCTGTAGTCCCCTTTTTAAAAATCTACTTTTTTTTTTTTTTGTAGTTCCTGTGATACAGATTAAAAAGGTAGAACCCGAGCAGTTCTTTGGTTTTATTCATGAAAAATCCTAATGCTCATTACAAAGTATCATTAGAATAAAAGCTTTTCATTCTTAAGATAAGCTTTAAAATGAAACCACAAGTCATAATATATATTTCCTTAATTGTGACTCACTCCATTGCAGACTCTGCCTGTGTGTCTGCAGGGTATATTTCCTGATTAGGTCGGAGAATATGAGTTATTTGAAAGAAGTGCCTGCCATGGTATCCAGCTACCCCACTCTCCCACTCTGGTTTGCCTTTGCCTGTGTCCCTGAGGCCCTCTTGCGCTCCCTCTCCCTCCCTCCTCCTCCACAGCCTCCCTATAGCGTGAACTCAGTTGCTAAAAACTTTTAAGTGGAATTCATGTCTGTGATGCTGTTTGAACTCTATTAAAATCAGTTTGAAATTTTAAAAAACATATATTATTTCATATACTGTTAATCTTGATCCAAGAAATTTTGAACAAAGTTTTTTGAACTTAATGAGGAAGCATTATTATAGAAGCAGTCACTGTGTAGACTAGGCGTGTATATATTTCCTTAGAAACAGAAAGCACTTGAGCAATTTTCATCAAAGTATGTGAGACCACGAGACCAGCGTGACTTGAGTCCCTACATTAGGATGAAACAAGTACATACGAGCCACTGTTCATCATCATGAATTCAGACCTGCACTGGATTAGAGATGAACAGAGATTAAAGTGGTGATTATGGGGCATAGACAAGGGTGGAGAGAGATGAAGGGAAAAGGCAAGGAAGAGGGAGGACTTTTTTAAGGGGCAGGGAGACTGGGATTACAAGATGGAGGCAATGGACAGGAGGGTCTGTGAGAAAAGATGGCGAGAAGATGCAAGCACGGAAGGCAGGGACCAGGAACAGGGGATATCTAGCTAGAGCAGAGCGCAGACTGGTCAGGCAGGGGCTGACAGTCAGAGTAGGAATCCTAAGAGGAGTGGATGACCAATGCATAAGAACAAGGGGGAGGCAGGGCTGCAATGCTTGGAGAGAAAGAACAAAGGAGCAGGAAGGGAGCTGACGCCTCCCTGCGGTGAGGGGACAGACACCCCGTTCCTTTGGGTAGAGTTGTCATGTGGTGGCCAGCTTTTGCCTGAGTACCTCTGTGGGATATAAAGTAGTTAGGACATCTTCATACATGAACCAAATTGGGCCCAGGAATGGGCTGAAAATATCTTTGAGTTTCATGCTTAGGGGTACTAGATGTAAGTTTTTATAATATAAAAGTGGTGGTGGAAATCACCATAAATACCAGAGTAAAAACAAAACAAATACAAAATTCCAATAGGTAAGCTAAACTCACTCTTTGTGTGAAAGCTTTAATTCCACTAATTCTCTTTATTAAAGGAAAATCCACGAACATCTGTTATTATTAAAACAGGGTAATCAGAACCACAGAAGTAGAGAACATGATGAATACTGGATATACGTGTAATTGATATGGAGTGAAAGTAATACAGCAAATCAGACCTCAGCTAAGTTTCTCTTAATCTTACTACCCTAAAAAGATAAATACAAAGAGATACAACATAAGAGATATTAAGCCCGTAACATTAACCTTGATACAGCTGCTAACATTGAGTTTCCTGGGAAGAGACAAAAATGGAAGTTTACTTGGAAGTGATGAGGTAAAGCAGATAGTAAATGATTTATTTCTAAAATTGCTTCCAAAGAGTTTCTTTGGAAAAAAAAAAAAAAGGTCATACTGGTTGTTAGATGCTTGTGAGGCTTTAAGTCAAATTTATGTTCAATAGATTACAGATACCATCCTTTCTTTCCTGTAGAACACTGAAGTTCTGGAGGAAAATTGCCTTGCATTTTTCCTTGGTAATTTGTTGTTTCAATTTGAGGAAGTTATTACAAATCTGCTTTTTCATATAGTTAGTGTTGTGGAAAGCAGTGTTTCTGAGTTTAAAAACATTTAATTCAGGCTGACATAACATGAAATGTGCAGTGCACATCTATCAAGAACTTCTTGTGTGATTTGTATAGATTTATTTAGCTGAATAAATAGCTGGAGTGTTTTACTATAAAACTTACATGCAAAACAAAATGGAAGGATATATAAATATCTAATTGACCTATTTCATTTATTTAGAACTAATGATCAACTAAAATTAACCTATGATCTTCAGCCTCTTTGTTTAGGAGCCTATTACTCAACAAGTCTTTATTAATTATCTATTTGACACTGTACAAGATACTACTAGACAAATGCATGAAAAGTGAAAAACAGAGTTAGTGTATGGTTATATCGAGACAAGCGGGAAATGCCTAGAAAATACCAGTTATTTTTAGGTAAGTACAGTGTACTCTTAGGTAAGTGAAAGAATAAAAACAAAGACGTGACCAGTGTGGGATCTGGTTAGTCAGAAAGGTCTCTGAATCCTTTAGGAAGTGATAGACATGAATTGACTAAACGTATCAGAAGAAGATCATCGGCAGTGAGGATTAAATACATCCAGAAGATAGAACGGAGTTGACAGTAGTCAACGGAGAGATCCCACAGAAGCTGGTCCAGCAGGAATGGATCTTCATTACACAGGGAGCCCAGCAGATGAACCTGAGATGGACGAATTCACACTGGCCCTAGCCAGTGACTAAGAGCCATTATAGCATCCTGAACAGGAGAATCCTTTTTTGGTTTGTTTTTAAGGTAGATAAAGACTTTCCTAATTCATTTTTTGGAAATTGTTATTTGAAAATGTGTGTTTGTTTGTTTTTACAGTTGGGAATTATATACCGTGACATTAAGCTTGAGAACATTCTACTTGATTCTAATGGCCACGTGGTGCTGACAGATTTTGGTCTGAGTAAGGAGTTTGTGGCTGAAGAAGTGAGTATTACATTTTAATTTGAAGTTAGTAACAACGGAATGTAAACAATGATAAAAAAATGAGTTACAGAATAAGCATTTATCAGGAGAGTACCATATGGATTATGGATTTTTGTGCAGGTTTGCCTAGAGGAACATCTTGACATGAATGACTGTAAAGATTTTTAGCTTAAAATTACCATCTTGTTAGAATTGCAGTAAACCTTTGATGTTTATATCAGCACTCCCCAGTTTAAAACTAAACTGTGCATTTAACTTTCCCTATAAAATATAACTGAAAAATGTAAATAAGCCTTTGGGCCCTTGAGGAGAATTATGCCTTAGTTGGTAACCAATCTAGAATTACAAAACAAAGGACATAGAGTTTACATTGTATTTACAAAGTAGTACATGTCCTGATGTCCCTTTGAATTCACTTGACAAAAATGACAAGGATCTACTAGATCAACTTCTTTAATAACCTTGCTGTTTTTGCTCATACAAACTAAAATGTAATAGATAATGTGCAGATTTTAAATATGGAGGACTTTGCATTTTCAGTATTGATTAGTACTTGTTTACTATTACAGATGCATTTAATGACATTTTAAAATGTACATCTACTATTCTAATTTAAATACTACTTACGTAGCAGTTGTAATAAAAATTATATTTTTATACTACTGGTTATGCAAGATAACGAGGTAAATTTGAATGCTAGCTCATTTTTATCTAAGAAAGTATTGGGTATAGGATACAGAATTACAGTGAAATTTTTGTAGTGAAGGACTTTGTGGTTGTAAAACACATCATTCTCGAGTTCCACATCAGGTGTGTCTGTTTCTGATTGTTTGCTTTTTGTAATATTGCCAAAGCAGTCCTAGGTGAATTCCATAAGTGCTGAAATTATAGAACTAAAGATCCTAGTTTTTTATCGTATCCATATTCGTTCAGTTCACTTACTTAATAAATATTTATTGACCATCTCTACTATGCTTGGTACTAGATAATGCAATGATGAAGAAGGTGGAAATGGTTTCTGCCTTCATGAAGTTGTGGTTATAATTATATTGATTATCTCTGATGGAAAATTCATAGTTATCAAATAGATGAGTTTTTGAGGAATTTACTTCAGAGTCTGATTTTTAAAACTCTTTCTCCTTTGTAAAACTTTTCATGGCAACTTCAGTAAAATGTGACAGGTTAAATATGTTTACCATTGCTTCCTCATTAAACCCCCTACACAAAAGTAAGGGAGTAAAATAGGCATGTACTCAAAAGAGAAGGAAGAAAATAGCAACCAAATTTTGGAAGATGGACAGCAGGAACTCTAGTTGTAACTGACGTAGCATTCCCGGTCCCAGTTGAATCCTAAGCTAGTAATGTGAGAAACCCCAAAACAAGCTAATTTGCACTTCTGGCTCCCAGACAGGGTCAGGAATTGGGGGCACCAGGTGTCCCTCAAAGTAGGAGCATGGGTGATATGGTTGCAAGTCTGTACAAGAAACAGGGAGCCCCCTCCAATCTGCCGTCTACCTGATTCACCTAGGCAACCATGCTTTCTTTATCTTGAGGGAGGACTGAAAGGGTTAACTAGAAAGACTGGATTCAGGGATGATGGACTGAAGGTGAGGACACAACAAGGGAACTAGTGGTTGAAGTGAAAAATGACACAGGGAGTCATGGACCTCCCATGGCCTCTTTCTGCCTCTTCATCCTGAGAACATGGCTTCCTGGACAGGAGTTTAGAGGATTCCTCCCTGAGAAACTGAGAACAGAAACTCGGCGGATGCTGTCAGGTGGTGGTGTTGCCAGGGAACTAGCCCAGCCAGATCTTTCTACAGAGATGTCTGTGACTTGACAAGCCCAGTACATCCCGCAGATCCATATTTGTGATGAAGTCACCGTTCTTTTTCTATTTTGATTTCACTATATTTCAATGCAAATAGTTTCTTGTGTCTGTATTCCAATGTGATTATGGTTTCCTCTGTCATACTGTGCATTCAAAAACACTGTTTTGAGAAGGGGTCTGTGGCCTTCAACAGATGGCCAAAGGATCCTTGGCATGTTAAGCATGCCGGCATAGAGAGATTTGGTGATCGCCTTCTCCTCTCTCCATGGAACCGTCCGTGTATTTGCTCATTCACTCCATCAGTACTTGTTGAGGGCCTTTTCCATACTAGACATTAGGCTAGGTTCTGGTAAGACACCAATGAAAAGAATCACTTAGTGACTCCTGTATTTATGGGTACGTGTAGCTGATCGTTTGGCAGACTTTGGCTCTGGGAAACAGCAAAAATAAACAAAAATCAAACATGGATCAGAGTTGCTGAGTTTTAATACAGAAATACAAATTAATCAGAAATGCCATGTGACTAAGTCAGCTAGGTCCCTCCTCACAAGAGAGACCTGTGTGTTCTGTTAATCATGCCAACAGCTCCTCGGCAAGGGAACAAAGGGAGTTCTTGTCGGATACCATGGGTTTTGAACACTTAGTTGTTTAGGTACAAAAATGAAATATTGGGTGGGGGCGGGTACCTGCGTGGCTCAGTCGGTTAAGCGTCCAGCTCTTGGTTTGGCTCAGGCCGTGATCTCAGGGTCATGAGATTGAGCCCCGTGTTGGGCCCCACACTCAACACAGAGTCTGCTTGAGATTCTCTCCTTCTGCCTCTCCCCCTGCTCTCCCTCAAATAAATACATAAATAAAATCTTTTTAAAAAATGAAATATTGGGACTCAATCTGAAGTGGAGAAATAATTTATAGATTTTCTTATTATTCACTGAATACAACCTAGCTGCATTTAATACAGTTGGTGTGTTAAGGTCTGTGTCATTAAGCTTTCCACTTTCATCTCTTCCCCTCAGACCACCAGCTCATTCTTCCTCTTCCCATAGAGGACATACTGTCACACTAGGCTTCAGGTTTAACTCTCAGGGCTGGGATAGGAACTACCCCTCTCTGAGAGCCCTACAACAGGATCTAGTGGTTCTTTGCTCCCCTGATGCCACTCAGCACCTGTTCAGCAAGTTTCCCTGCCTCGACTCTTTCCACCTTAAAAATATTCCCACCAAACAATTTCTGTTTTGATTAGCTAGCATTCCTTTTTGGTTTTACATGTCACCCTGACTCCTTTATATCAAAATACCATCTTTCTTGGAATGAGTTTCTTTTTTGTCCATCCCTATTCTACCTCGTTGGTTTTCAGTTTAAAGTCTAGTTTAAGGAATTCCCTTGGTTTCCAGTGTATACAGAAAGATTCTATAACTCCAGCTCCAACTGACCTCTCTCCTCTTCTACCTCTTCCTCTTGGACCCTTTTATCACCATTTAAGCATGCCTAGTCTCTCCCATTTTAAAATTTTAAAGATGGATGGATGGATGGATGGATGGATGGATGGATGGATGGATAGATGGATGGATGGACGGACGGACGGATGGACTGACTAATAGATAAACAGAATCTATCTCAGAATTCCATATTCCTTTCCAACTCTTGTGCTCTTGTTGTCTGTCAGTATTTGTCTACACACTCTCTTTACTTATCCACATGTCACTCCTTAATCTGCTCCAGTTTGGCTTGCACACCTACTGACGAACTGTAAGCCTTCTTGTCAAGATCACTATTGACCTCAGTTTTAGATACTTTTTAGTCCTTTCTTACTTGACTACCTAGTAATGTTGAACTGGATATTGCCTCTCTCCTTGGCTCCTGTGACACCACGCTCCCCTGGCTTTCCTTCTATCTGTCACTGTCTTTTGCAGGCTCTTCGTCTTCTACCCAAGGGTTCCTCACAGTTCAGTACTAAGTACTCTTCTCTCTTTGTGCTCTCCTCTCTACCTTTATGCTGGTGATTCCTAAAAATATATGGCAACCCTGACCTCTCTTCTGAGCTCCAGATCCAAACATGCTTGTAATGTATTTCCATGTGATGCTCTCATAGACTCCTTGAGCTCAACATTTCCAAAACTGAACTAATCTTCCCCGGACCAAATATGCTTCTCTTTCAATATATTGCAGTTTTGTGTGTTACAAATTCTGCCCTCATTGGGTCTGGGAAATTTATTTCTATTAATATAGTCACATTATCCTATATTAATATGGACTATATTAATCTGAAAATAGATCATTTTTATCTATTTTCTAAGAAAAAGGGGAAAATTACTTAAAACCCATGCAGAGTGTCAGGGACTTTCAAACCCTTAAGGGTAATTTAGCAAAAAATATTCTGGAATATTAACTGATATTGCATAAGTGTGATTAATAAATGTTTATATCTATATCTATGTATAAAATACATATACTTTTAAAATAACAGTTTACGTTTCTGCTTATGGTGTAATATTCATCTCTCTGTGTATTTGTTAATTGAATAATTGAGCAAATATTAATTGAGTACTATATATCAGGTATTGTACTTACACCCTAGAAATATAGTGGTGAACATAACAAATTCCTTGTCCTAATGAGCCTATATTCTAGAGGTATTTGTCAAATATGCATTAATTAATTATTTCTAGATTATAGTTTGCTAAACTGGATTGTATACAGGATAAAATTGGTTTATTTTAGAAACTTTTAAAATCTTTTATATGATAATGAACACTTTCCAAATTTGATACTTTTCATGTGTTCTTTTCTCAATCATAGAATTTGATAAATCCCTTGAGATTCTGAGAATAAAAGAAGACATTTCTAAATATCTGCAGGCTAGTCTATGTCCTTCATAGGATCTCTTGAGTGTGCAATTCAAACATTTGTTGAGTTCCTACTGTGAGTCAGACAGTGCTGGTTTTGGGTATATGATTCTAACACTGAAGACTTTAAAGACATTTATTTTTGAAGAGTGTCTGTTTTTACCTGTTTATAAACAAATAATGTGAAAATGATACATTAATGTCCTATTAGTTACCCTATACTTACATATGGCATATACATTCTGTGTTTTCATAATTTCACACTGAACATTTAAAAATATCACAACAGATTATTAATGTGAATCTACAGGTAGCTAAATAAAACT